ATAAAAACATGCAATATCACTATTACAATAAAAACATGCAAATAAAATCAACACTAAACAAAATATAAAAAACACAATTTTCCACTGTGTGACAGGTAAGTATTTTTTCTCTTGAGCTTTTTACTTAAAGTTATCTCTATAGTATCTCTACAATGTTGTTGTGGAACTCCTCTTCCAAAGAGCGCATTCATTTTACATAAGCTCCTTTTAAATAGATTCCTAACACTGAAAGTGCAAAGGCCCACATGGAGTTGCTCCATTAACCTTGCAGCTTTGAATGAGGTACAAATGATTAACATGAAAAATCTTCTGACCATAAAACCTTTCTATTTTTGAACAACGAAGCCTATTCATTGGATTTATATAAAGCGCAGGGAGTCTCAATAAGAAAACAAAGTTGTTTTTTTTACATATGAAGTTTAATGCAAGAAATTCAACCCCAAGATAAGCAACTGTACTGGATGCAGAACTGGAATTATAGATTATATGATTTCTTTACGATTCGTAATATTCAGGGGAAGATCTGAATTTTTCCATATCTCCAAGGACAACCTGCCTTACGAGTACCAGTCTAAGGGGAAATTTGCATGAATGCATGCTCAGTGGGTGGTTAGTCCAGTCATGCTTCAAAACTGAAAAAAAAGAAAGAAAAAAGCATTATTTCATCAGCTTTCTTTAAGCATTTACAGTACGGTAGTTGTTTAGGACTAACATTGCGAGTGTAAATGTATTTATAAATGCAACCCTTAATCAGATTTAATCTTAGCTTCTTCCCGTCTTCTACACAGAAGACTTTGTTTCAGTCATATGTCCTCACTCATTTTGCGTCACTGGTACATACTGCTGTCAAAACAGTCCCGTTTTCCCTCGTCTGAACTATCTTTGCAAAGGTCCAACAGCCTTTTGTCCATTTCATCACCTGGATCTTTGCAGAAGTGATTGCGAAAGAGGTTTCGACATGTTAAAGATGTTATCACATCAGACTGTAGCATCCTGTTTATTTGTTCATTCATTTGTTTGGTCGGCAACATGTTTTGATGCTGCGTTCTAAATATGTCATGTTTAATATTGACGCTGTGTGAAGTGAGGAGGGTTTATTGTAACACAGGGTTATTCGACTGAGCGTCTAACGGTCTTACAGGACGCACATGAAATGGAAATAACGGAATCCACGCCCCCCGACTCGCAGTTCAAACACTTTCTTATTCTTAGTATGGTTTCACTCATGTGTTTAGATGGTCGAGCGCATTTATTTCGCAAAATCACAGCAAATGCAAGACATTTTTATTGCGTGTAATATAACGTATGAACTACAACCTTCTGTGCAATACTTAGAATTTTGCTTGTGCAAACCAGACAGTGAGGCAACTGTTAACTTCTTCTAAACAATTCTGAATTTCCCTCCACGGGCGTAGTCTTTCTGTGCCTGACGAAAGAAAACGAAAGGAAGCAGCGCACAAGTGTACGCACATTTTTAAAAAGCTGTTCAGGTGGATCTGCTTTAGTTTTAGTTTCCTTCTGTGGGTTTTTCACACTTGGTGAAAGCACTATGTTTTTCTTTATCTTTATTGCGTGGATAGGTAAGTGTACTTTTTCTGTTGCGCTCTTTGTTAAAGTTACCATATAAGTTTCAGAACTGAACCCATTTTTCGGATGTAGCGCGTTGTTTGTTTTAAATCAACTCCGTTTTCAGGGTCTGAGCACTCAAAGTGCAAAGGTCCCGTTAGAATTGCTCCGTTTATTATGATTTTTCCCATTTATGCATGACGAGTCGCACTTTGGGAGCCACAAACACGCTTTTAAATGTACATTGCGCAGACGTGTCAGCAGCTGTGAGCATTATACCCCGTTTTCGAAAAGTAGTCTACCTCCTATTTCCTTTTCCTAAACACTTAAAGGTGGTAATTCACATTGACTTAAGAAAGAAAAAAATTGTGGGCTGAGAATCCTGACCACCTCACAGTCGTCTCCAAAAGCCGAATTTATGTGCACGTGTCAGTCTGATTTCCGTTAGGACTACGATGGAGAGGGCGACACTACACACATGGATGGACAGAAAATATAATGCATACATATATTATCTATATATTCATTAAAAAAAATTATCAATATTAAAGGTTTTTCTTTTTTAATCAGGTTGGCACAGTTTATATTTGATTAGCAGCATGTGACAATTAAAAGTCACACTTTAGGTATTTGGAGTGACTCGTGGTCAAAGTATCCAGTCATTTTACTTGAGTCCACTTATTTCCTCACCACCTTAATTGCACCTTTCTCTGTCTCGCTCCTGCTAGTTACTAGGTGTTGCTGGTACTACTGTTCGCGGTGCAGCTAACATATCGGTTAATCTGACACATTCACCTGCATCTATTATTAGTTTCTTTTTTTTTTTTTTTATCTCTCTCAGCTTTTCAGCTCCACCTTTTGACCACTGTTTCCACACCAAACTCTACACGGTGCGCAAGCGCAAAGCAAAACTAAGGAAGGGCCAGGTTGGGTTAAGAGATTTAATTCGGCAATACAGTTGACCCAGTGCGTCGACCAAACGGGAAAATGCCCGGTATGCCAGTCCAGCCCTACAAGACGCTGTGCACTCAAAGACTTCTCAACTCAGACAGTTCTGTATAGCTGGAATTGACTCTTGTGACAGCAGGTGTACTAACAAAGCTATCAGAAATACACAGTGTCTGTTAAATTCTAACTTAAAGGGATGATGATCAAGGAACTGACCTCCCAGCCCATTGTTCCTTCACTGGTTCTAGTTTCAGTCATTATGCAATGTACTGTTTATAAGATTGGGGAAACCTGCAGTCAGCTGAGACTGAAGAAGTCACTTGGATGAGTGACGAAACGTTTCTCCCACTAAAAACGCTACATCCAGATGAACAGAATCAACTTTTGGAGATTTACTTACCTGGATGATTAAGCATGCATCAAGACGTTAGTTAAAGGGAATTATATTCTGACATAATTTTCAATAGAGGATGTTACGGTGATACAGAGTTGTGGTCAGACGTTTCACTCGTATGGTGAGTGACACATCTGAATAACTTGTATTTATATACAATTGTTTGAATTGATTATCTTGGAATGGGGAGTTGTTTGAAAATGTCTCATTAAGCTTTTAGAGTGGCCTTTCCAAAGCCCAAACATCATCTAGTGTGAACCCACAACAACCTGAAACAAGATGTATAGCTACTAGTCATGTTAGTATTTGTCAAAGATATTCTATAGAGACTGGCCACATTTTATTTTTTAGCAATGTCATGAGAGTTTTTTAAAGCCTCATATAATTAAGGGGGAGATCGGAAAGGTGACTGTTGTTTTGATTAAAATAAAAATGAATCGAAACTGAATTAGATGAACCTCACCCAATTTAGTTTGCAAGTAGGAGATCTCAAACCCAAACAAATATTGAAGAGCCTCCTATACCGATCCTTGATAATGTTATTTATATCATTTAGTGTGGCTTTATTCATCACTTTGGACATTTAGTATCCTCCTCAAGGCTTTTGCAACAGTAAATCTTGCTGCTCCAGGTCTGTTAGCCACGGTTCGCAGTAAAACATTACCAACTTATGCATATTTGATCGTTTGTTTTTTTAAGATTCTGTTTGAGTATATGCCTACGTTAAGCTTTCCTGTATCATTCTAGGAAAGCCTGTGAACGCTGCCTGTCCATTAGAACTTAGCCCTCCTAGAGTTGTGGTGAGGTTTGGAGACTCCTTATCAGCAAACTGCACCTCATCATCTGACCAGACTGAAGGAATGGGATGGGAGTCTCCATATGGAGGAGTGGACCTTACAGATGGTGTCACTTTTCTTCCCTTTAAAATTGACTCTGTGCCAGTGTGGGAGTTAGAGCCAATGTGTTATGTGAATTCCCGTGATGGTAGTCAGTGTACAAAAGTGTTACCGGTCACTGTTTATAGTAAGTAGCCTTAACTTTATCTGAGCACGCAATTTTTAGTATTCACTGAATAACATGAAAATAACATGAGGTAATTTTATCCCTTTTTGTTACAGAAATGCCAGACAGTGTGTCTCTGAAGAATTTACGTACAGTGAAAGAAGGCCAACAGTTTGCCATACAGTGTGACATTGTTAATGTTGCACCAGCAAGAAGTCTTTCAGTAGTTTGGCACAAAGGAAATAAGATCTTAAATTCTGAGACGTTTGATGAGTCCAGTCCATCTCCCGTCAGTAAGTCATCTGTCCTCACTCTGACTGCTCATAGAGATGATGATGGAGCTGAGATCTGGTGTGAAGCAAAGCTGAACCTGTGGCCAGAGGAACAAGGTCCTCCTCCAGTGCGTTCAGAGGAGCATACTCTGACTGTACTCTGTGAGTTTTTAACATGATCTTAATATAATAAACACAATATTTCTTATTGTATTTTCATTTTTTAGAAGTGTATCAATTTATGTATAATTTCACATTTCCTCAGACCCACCAACCTTTATCAGAGCTTCAGATGAGACTCTGGACTTTCCAGCTGGTAAAAGTATGACTTTAAATTGCAATGCTACAGGAAACCCTTTGCCATCATACCGCTGGCAATTCCCACAAGCAGCACAAGAGCCGTACAAGAATCAAAATGAGAATTATCCAGTTTTGACTCGAACATTTAAGTTTCCAGGAATCTATACCTGCACCGCCTCAAACACACAGGGCACT